CTAAATTCAAATAAAGGACTAAACAGAATTTCTTTATTTTTATGATTTTAACTAAAAATCTTTGGATGGCTGCTCAGAAGTTTAAAGAAAAACACGTTCTCAGATTAAATTTAAATAATCGTTGAACTCAGACTGAATCTCGGCTGATGAACAGAATCACAAACATCTGAATTATTCTACATTCGTACAGAAGTCAGTCGAGCAGAAGAAAAGAAAAATCATCTTTTCGCGTTCACAGCTGTTAAAATGTCACATGTGGCGTCTTTTTTAATTTGATCATTTCTCTTAATGAACATCAAACACTGACATCACACCAACAAACGCTGGCCCACTCGCTCACAAGCTCAAGTTCTCAAGCCCAGTCTTTAGTCTTTAGGTCCAGTTTGCTCCATCCTGCTGAAATCTGCCCACGCGTCCTCGAGCAGACGCTTTCAGTTCAACACAGGTGCGACAGCAGGGGGCGCTGTTCAAGTCAACGTGGCACGAAGGCGAACCAGCACATGTAACTGTGACGTTTAAAGATCAGGCACTTGATTCAAAGTCTTCACACAGACGAGCGGTGCCGTTCAGGACTGATGCTGAAGTCGTGTGCAAAACACTGGAGAGAACAAATGTGTCCAACATGCATAACAAATGTAAACATTTAAATTTGAACAAAGAAACATTTGAAACTAAAGAAAACTTGAAAAACTAAAGCTTAAATAACCAAAAGCAAGAAGAGAAAAAAAAACTATTCGTCTCCCATCGTACTGGTTTAACATCTCTACGCTACACCCCCTCCCCCGTTAAATGACGCCGCTGCGCTTTCACCCGACAACGACAGAACGTCGTTAAAAGACATGAAATCGTTGAAATAAAGACACAACGTCGTAACAATAAACACACAACGTCATTAGCATAGAGACACAACGTCATTAGCATAAAGACACGATGTCGCTAACATAAAGACACATGCATGAAAATAAAAACTAAAACGTAGATTTTTTATCGTTGAGGAGAATCCGACTGAGGAGCTGAGGTTTGACTGAAGCTTCAGAGTTAACGCACAAAATAGTTCGTTAAGTTTACAGCTGTTTGAAGGCTGGGGGGGGCGGGGGGGGGGGGTTCCGACACTTAACGTCGGAACTCTGACACTTCTCCCAAACTTTTAAATCTCGATACATTTTAGCGCCTCCCCCTCGTTATGATGACGACAGTTCGAGAGTGAACGTTCGGAACAGCTTGTTCGTAACGAAACCGATTCCGTAATACGCAGGAAGAGGAAACAGCTCGACTGAAAAAAACAGGAGGAAGAAAACAAAGACGTTGATCGAACGTTTACAAGTTTAAGATTTTCAGAATGTCGTCTTCTCTTTGTCACAGCTTCTGTAAATACAGATGGACGACATGACAGCTTCTGTATATAGGAGCTAAATTTACTTGATTGCTCCCCTGGTGGCTGGCTGCAGTATAGGTCATAAACCTCCATGTTAGCAGATTGGACATGGACAGAAAAAAAAAAAAAAAAAAAAAAAAAAATCAAAGTAGACGTTATAAAAACAAGCTCAGACATCGTGATTGACAGCTGAGACTGACCGAGTCAGTCCACTCCATGATCACACAACAGAGGAAGTCGTCCATCTTTATTTACAGAGAAACAACAAACGTAACCACGGAAACTGACTTGTCTTCAATAAACGGAATCATTACTGTGACTTCAGAGACGTTATTTTCTGGTTGTTTTTGGTACTTTTCGTGAATCGGTTCTGTTTTAATCTTCGTATCGAATCATTCACTCAGAAAAAAATAAAAGCTGCAGTTTTGCGGCGACGTCTTTCATTAAATTCTTTAAAATAATTTCTTTCAACTCTAAACAAAAAAAAAAAAATCTGCTCAGACAAGTTTGAGTCGATTTACTGACGCGCTGTCAAGAAAACTAAAAAATAAACAGCAACAATATGGCGACAGCTACATAACTACGAATAAACAGCACCACATGGTTTCGGTGTCGTGGTTGATTCCACTACTCTGGTCAAATAAAACATTGGCAAGAAGGAAATAAACAAAAAAAACAAACATGGCAGATATAAATATGTAAAAATACCAAATGAAGCGAACGGGTACAGTAGGTGTGCAAATCTGAACCGTCGTCTGTGGCGGGAAAACAGACGAGTGGAAGGAAAGGCTGCGAGTAAAGAGATACCTTGACGTTTGAGTTCTTTCAGCGGGTCGACGTGTTTGTGTTGGCACTGAACGAGGCGGGGAAGAGGAAGTTGCGAGGGGATCAGCTAACATGAGGAATGTGATTGAAAGTGGAGAGAAGCTGCAGGTTTGATTCTTCAGTTTCACCCGACATAAACATACAATCTGTATCTGAACGTTGCATAAACTCACGTGAGCATCAGATGGAATAATCGGATCTCAGCCACATTAGCTTAGCTTAGCACAAAGACTGGAAACAGGGGGAAACCGTTAGCCTGGTACAGTCTTAAAAAAAGTAGCATACGTGGCATAGCAGCGTAGTTTCCCTTCACCCGACACTAACGACATCTGACGGTGAAACTGAGACAAGAGGTCTGAATGGAGAGAAGACGAGATCATGATAATACGAACGACGTGATCGAACATTTGGATTCAAGATACAGATCAGATTGTAAATAAAGATGGACGACATGATTAATCAGCGAGATCACCCCCTGGTGGCTGGCAGCGTGTGTGTGTGTGTGATATATTTCATCTTCACGTCAGGAGGAAGTGGAGACGTGTCGTCATCTTTATTTACAGTTTGTTGTTTCCATTAACGATCAAAAACATGAGCTGGGCCAATGAGCACATCGTCCCTATACGAAACCGAATGTGGATTCATCCGCCACTGAAAATAGTCCCGAGCTGCACCTCGATTTCCTCTTCAAACTTTTAATTTTAAATTTTGCGTCTTCAGCAGCGAGTGGCGTGATCGAGAGTCACCGAGCAGAGAAACCAAAATGTTGACAATAAAAAATAAAAACAAAAGAAACACTGACCTCTCCTAACGCCATGTTTGACTGTGTTTACAGCCCAGGCTCCGCCCCCTGACACAGACGACGCTGGTGGAACATTCTTCTTTAAGAACCTGAGGTAGTCTGAATGTTTGGGCTACATGTTCATGTGTGAACTCTACAACAGCGGATAACGATGCAACATTTGGTGACGCCACAGTGGCCCACACGATGCTAACAGCAGGGCTGGGTATCGAACCTTGACAAGGACGAGCTCAAATACTGAGATCAGAAACGTTCCGATTGGAGAGTTTGGGATTAAGTTTGAGGTTTTGACTGACGAGCGTCTGTGCTGTGATTTCAAATGTTTGAAGCAGGTTTTTGTTTGGGACTCAGACGATGAGCAGCCACGCTGAGGAGTGAAGGACATCAAGGTATCACTTTAAGTGAATGAGAGTGACGCCGGCGAGCGAATCGATCGCCGGTCGTTTTAAGGCACGTGTGTGTAAGAAAGGTTTATATCGTTTGAACGAAGGAGCCGGACTATAAACGCTTCACTGAACGAGCTATAACGTGAAGACGACGAGCTCTTCATTCCAAACACTTTATCAGAAAATAACTATCTCTCTACAGAAGTAGAGTACAATTTAAAAATGAAACTAGCGAACTACAGTACACTCTAGATGCTCATTACGACGATGCATAGCATCACCCATATATGCAATATTGACTTTAATTTTAAGTATCATGGATCTTATTCAATATTAACATTGAACAGTGGAGTTACTAGTGTCATGGAGAGTTGTGTTATGGCAGTGTTTGTTAGAGTCACTCTCTCTCTCCTACTTCTCGTTTTTCCGTGACGAGACAGAAATGAACAGAGAGGAGGAGGAGCCGATTTGTGATTGTCATGAATTTCCTCTGCAAAGTTCAATCAAAGAAACCACAGAGATAAAACAGGAGAGGAGAAGGGGAAACAAAGAAGTTGTGAGTCCAGACGTTCTCGTAAAAACGTCTTCGCTCTGCGTGTTCAGACGTCGACGTGAGGTGACGTCGGCTTCCAACACCAAAACCCCGGAGGTGAGAACGACACCCCAGATTCCAAAAACAAGTAAATCTCCGACCTGTGTGCGAGTTTCCTGTTTGATATTTCCACAGAGCAAGCGCTGCTAAAAACAGTGTGTGTTAGCGTTTGAGGGCCCCGCGCTTATCAGCTCCGCAGGGGCAGAACAGTGGGCGGGGCCTGTCTCCTCCTGCTCAGACGTCTGTTTGTTGTTTCTCTCCGTTTCGTGTCGCTCCAGGTCGACCGCCACCTCCTCCTCCTGCTTCACTTCTTTCTTTACCACCACTCCTCCCTCCAGTTTCTCCGTCTCAGTCCGCTGAGTTTCGCTGTTGGATCCCGGAGGAAGAAATTTCCCGAACATTGTCCCGTTCAGATCCTCCTCCAGTTTCACCTGGAAGGGAGGCAGCCCGAGCAGGAAGGCCCTGATCCTGCTTGGCGAGCTCAGGTCAGCGGGTTCCTCCTGGTTCTTTGTCTCCGCATCGGTCTCTCCTCCACCTCCTGCAGAGCTGGACCTCCCGTCCAACGTGACGTCCTCAGCCTGCTCCGTGCAGCTGACTCTGGGTCTCTTGGACAACGGTTGCTCCGTGTCTCCATTGCTTGCCACTCTGAACGGCTCCGGTCCCTCCGTACTGGGCCTCTTGACCGCGAAACGCTTGCTGAGGTTGAGGGGCAGCGCCTGCTCGGGGGGAGGGGTGATGGGAGAGCAGGGGGGCTTGGCGCTCAGGTCCTGGGACAGAGCCTCGGACAGTCGGCGGGTGAAGGTCTGCAGCTGCGACGAGTCCAGACGACGAGTCCTCATCAGCTGACACACCTGAACGCTGCAGTCCAGGTTCAGAGGCAGGACCCGGAGAGGAGGCAGCTGAGGCCGGCTCCTGGCGTCCCGGCTGCCTCCTCTCTGGGCTCCGTCATCCACGTTACACCCGGAGCAGCGGTTGTGGTGCTGGTGGACAGGGTGGGGCTGAGGCTGGTCCCCGCTGGGATGAGGCGTGTCCGGGCTTCCACTTTTGGGCTGCAGGGTGAAGATGGTGGGCTGGTGCTGGGCCGGGTCCTGAGGCGTCAGCGCCGGGCTCTCTGGGGTCCTCTGAAGGCTGATGCGGTTCCTGAAGATGTCCAGAGGACACACGCCCTTGATGGGGCTGAAGCCGCCCAGCGATCCTCCGACAAAGTGGCGAGGAAGAGTGGCGAGGAGGACGGTGGGAGCAGGAGCCGCGGACTCTCCTCTGTCCAAGTTCGGCTCCTTTGGTTTGGGCTGGATGGGGAGGAAGGGGGCCGACATGGGGGAGAGGTCAGGGGTGAGAGGCATGTTGATGGGGAGGATGGTCGTCTGCAGGAGGAGAGAAGAAGAAAAACGTTACAGATACTGACGTGTTGTACTGAAACCAAATCTGCTGACATTTTAATTTCATTTGAATCTTCTCAGATTCTTCAGACAAAGTGATTAAATAAATGTTCAACAGTTATTTAATCAGCTTCACTGGATCCACAGGCTTCAACCTTCATTTATAAAACTTCAAACTGCAAAAGAGTTCGTCCGGACTAAAACTCAAATGAGACGTTCACGACAACAAGTCTCTGATTGAGATGCTGGGAACCTCCGCCAGACGTAACCATAGTAACAGTAATGAGTTTAAGGACTTAGTGTGGATGTTAACACATTTAGACCTGGTGCTACATGTGTCAGCTTCAGAAAGCCCTCAGGATTAGGAGGTTGTTTTAAACCATGTTAAAGTTTCAGACGTAGCCTCGGGTCTTAAAGGGTTAACGACAGAGTCTATCCTGAAAGCGGTGCGGAGTCTGCGTCTTTTTCTGCCGATTCATCATTCTGGATTTCCAGGTCGTGCAGTGCGATGTTACTCACCCGGTGTGTGTTGCAGGGGGTCGCTCCATCTCTGCCTTTGGCTGGAAGCAGCAGAGTCTCTGCTGTTGCTTTGGGTTTGGTCTGCTGCAGAGCCAGCAGCTTGGCCTGAGCGATCAGCGTGGCCTTGTTGCGTGTTCCCTTCGGTCGGCCTCGGCCTCTCTTCACCACCATGGAGCCGTTCGGGTTCAGGTTCTGCTCCGAGAGAAGAGGAACGTGACGTTTACACCGAATTCGAACAAATCTCTGAAAACAAAATTCTAAACTCTAAGGATTTTAAGACAAACAGCTGCTGTGTCACTTACTGTATGAGCAAGAGGAGGAAGGCGAGGAAGAGGGAGACGAGGAAGAGGAACAGTTGATGGAAGAGGAGAAGTGGGGGTTGTGATCTTCTCCTTTGCTTTGGGTCCTGGTTTTCTCCCTCTCTGAAGTGGTTTCCTTCCTCTGATCCCTCGGGGTTTCGGAGGAGTGGGGGATTCTGGGATTTTGAATTCAGATCCTCCCACTCTGAGATGCTCTTCATAAGGAAGCAACAACCTGAGACACAGAGACACAGTGAGACCTGAAGCACTGGCGTGTGTGTGTGTGTGTGTGTGTGTGTGTGTGTGTGTACCTCTCGTAGTGTCTTCTGGTGCAGGTGGCAGCGCTGGTGCTTCCAGGACACCCTCCCAACTCATTATAGACGATTTTCCAGAGTCTGTCCATTGTCACCTGTGAGACAAACAGCGGTTTCATACATTTCAGTTGCCTTTTATTAGACTCATGAATTATCGAGTGATCACCTGACATTGTTTTATTTGCTCTTGGATTGTTTAAATGTCATTTCGTGTTTTCGTTCGCTCCATCATAACAACGTGGAGTCTTTTGTCTGCACCGACAGCATCATCGCTCGCCACCTGCCTGAAGCTTATGAGTAAAGAAGAATCGCCAGCACGCTGTCGGCGTTCGACGTGTCTGTGGAACGTGTCGCTGCACCCTGTGGTGACTTCGATTGAAATCAGATGCAATTTTCCCTTGTTATATGCGACACTGGGAATATTTTCTAAAGTGTCAAACAATTCCTTTGAATAAAATTTGAATGAACTCACCTTTTTGTAGCCTCCGAGCCGTTTGACCACAGAGTACATGAGGAAGAGGTCGACTGAGGACAGAAACACAGTGAACATGCAAATATCAAGCAGGAGAAGATAAAAATACAAATCCCACATTAAACAGAGTTTGACTAAACAATCATCGTCTGACAAAACTTTATTGTCTCCAGCTTTAAAAAGAAAAACAGACAAAACTAAACCTCCTCATATTTTACAGCATTTCTATTTTGACTCCAGGTTTAATTTAAAAAATGTGTTTATGATCCTCAGGAACAAAAGCAATTTAGTTTATTTGTTAAGAAGTATAAGCTGTGTCATATTATTATTAAAATACAACTCAAACCAAAGAGAATCTAAATGTGATGTTGTCGGTGTGTTTCTTTTTTCCAGCAGTTGTTGAATATTGAAATTTGGTACAAATAAAATCACATCATTAAAACACATCACGTCCTTTTTAAATAGATGTTTCATGTAATTATAAAAATGTTTTTAGTGTTTAACTGTCACAAGTCATGAAAAAATCATCTGAGCCTGAAGGAGGGAATCAAACCTGCGACCTCAATAATCCTTAATTGTTTTCAATGTTAATCAACAACAAGAAAAATGAATTTCTTGTTTACAAAACATTCAGATTCTCTCTCCTCTTGGCTCTAATTAACCCTGAGATGTTTTTATGAACAAGATTTGAAGCCTCTGAAGAGACGAACATTAAGAGACTCACTCTTCTTGAAGCCGAGGTTGGGGACTTTGTGGATGGGCGAGCCGTGACGGTCCATGAAGGCGTAGAGCTGATCCAGGAAGAGCTGCTCCTCAGGGTGAGGGAGCCAGTCGCCCTCGCAGCCGACCTCCACGCTGCCCATCACGTTCTCCTGAAACAGAGACCACATCAGGGACACATTAATATGATTTAATCCTCCACTTCAGAGAGAGAGAGGCAGCAGATCCAGAGTCTGATTCTAAATTATAATAACAAACCAGTACAATGAACAGGACAAACCTTCATCCTCTCCAGCCACGACTCTGACTGGCTGGAGTTCGGAGAGTCTCTGCCGTCGTGACCTCTCCTCTTTCGGGGTCGACCTCGAAGACTGAGAGACGGAGATCCTGCAGAAAAACAAACACGTGCATAAAGATTTTTAGTTTCAAAATAGATTTACAGATCACACTTTACAGATTCACACCAAACTAGATTTGTTTCCATCCAGCGCCACCTACTGTTCATCTCCATGAAGTTCATACAACAGCAGAAGATGGAAACGTCAGATATTCACCTTTTCTTTTGCTGATTTATGAAAGTTTACGTAAGAATTAGCGACTGTACATTGTGTTTCATTAAACTTGAATGTGTTGATTTCACCACAAACACTCGACGGTTTGATCCAAACATCACGTGAAGCTTCAGCAGCCGATTACGAATCTGACAATTAAACTTGATTTAAAGACAAAGACAGGTTTTTTCATTATCTCTGAAATAATCTAGAGTGTTGTCGTCTGACAGAGGGATCCAAGAAAAGGTCTTGTTTCTAAGGTTTGGAAAATATTGAACAAAAAATAAAGAATGGTCTGAATTTATATATTTATATTTATTGTATTAAGTCAACTTTACTAATCCCTAAACAACACACAAAAATAAAAGACAACACAAACAACTTTTTCATTGTAACTCTGGATCCCACTTCTAAATTTAAAGATAACGTGTTCAATACCATCCATTACTGGACAATTAAAGAACTGACCGAATCTAAACAATCATGTGCAAAGTTCGACTTAAATCTGAGAAAGTAACGACAGTTGAACGGTTCACACAACTGAAACAGCTGAACTGAGATGAACACAATGAGCACTGGTGAAAAGAAGAATGAACTCGTTAATCCAGTTCCTGTCTCAGTCACTTGTTCCTGACAACACTGAGAAAAGATTTAGCATTCACACTGAAATTAAACTTTATGGTCGTTTATTTCATATCAGATCAACACTCCAGTAAGAAGCTGCTTCCTCAACCTGCGGATTTCATTTTAAAAGGTGAAGCTTTTTTTTTTTAAAGATCAATAACTTAATTCTTCAAACTACTGATATAAAGTTCAGAAATCTAAAGAAGAAACAAGTTGTGAACACAGCTTTGATAAATCATCAGTTTTAAAGCTCGTGAAGCACGGCGGATGAGAGAGAGGAAACACTGGACACAGTCATTTAAAAACCGCCCCAGTGTGTCAGCGTGTTTTCTGAGACACTCACCGAACTGCCAGGAGAAGCTGGCGCTGGTCTCCAGTGTCGGGTGGTTGAACGTGTCCCTGCAGTACATCAGCCGGATGCTGGGCAGCGCCCTGACGCCGCCCAGGGCCAACAGGTGGGGGTCCTGCAGCCCCGGCCCCCTCGCACCATCCTGGATGCGTCTCTGCAGCGAGCGGAAGCGGCAGTACTGCGGGTAGCTGAGCACTTTGATGCTTTGACGGTCCGACGGGCCCTCTGGGAAGAAAAAAACCAAGTGAAACAAATCAGTAACTTGATAATGAATCTATACATTTCTCTAATTTCATCACGGACACGGTTCTCATTCACTTTCAAGTTTCAGTCATTCACCAGTTTGCCTCAGTGTTTCTTACTCTCAGCTTTTCCTTGAAGCGGCTCGATGCTCTTGTCCAGTAAAGTGTTGACGTTGCCATCGCTGCTCTGCGGAGGTTTGTGGAGGCCGTTGGTTCCACAGGGCGGCGTCAGCTTTGAAGTGCTACTCCAACCTGTCGGCTCCGCACACGACCATTTCACCAGGTCCTCCACCCGCAGCACCATCTTCCTGGACACGGCCAACACCTCATCCTGAACACACACACACACACACACACACACACACACTGGTTAAATCTCGTGTTGTCATTTTAAAAACAAGGAGACAGTGAACTGGTTCCACACATTACAATAAAGTAACTATGGTAACCATCCCACGGGCCCCATCTTAGTTCAGTGTGTTTACAGCTGTGAAGTTGGAGCTGGGATCTTTAGTTGGGGTTCATCCTGTGTGAGGATTATTTGATCTGCCATCACCACCTCTGTGCTGCTGTCCGGTTAAAAACACACAAACTTATTTATTCTCTAACATAATCCTGACTGCTCCGTTATGAATTTAGTTCTAATACGTGAAGTCGTTTTCAAACCAATGTTTTCTGACAGTGTTTAGTTCTCAGATCAGATCTTAACTCTTTCAACACCAAAACCCTAAAGACGTGTTTGTGACAAAAAAGTTCCATTTACGAAATCCAGAAATGTCCAAGTTTCTCTGAATGAATCACATGTGATGTAAAAGTCCAACTGGATCTAACAAACTTTATTTAACGTGTCTATGAGAGGCATGTCGTAAAAGTCAGTTTCACTGATTGCTCTGCATCGAGGAGGTTCTCTCTCTGAGAAAAGACTCTGTGACTTTCTGTAACATTGAGGACGTTTTTCAACATGTTCACTGATTTGTCAAAGAATAATTCATGATGGAAAAACATCAGACACGTTAAAAGTACTGATATCTATGAGAGTGTGAAGTTTAATGCAGCTTCATTGACTTTCAGGGAGCGTTGGTGGAGGGACGAGCTCCTCTGACTGTTTACCCAGATAACAGCTCAAGTCTGAGGTCTCCTCCCGTTCCAGTTTGTGGGCCGTGATCCTGTTTGGTCCTTGATGCACAGCCCGACCCCCCACCCCCAAACATCCTCCACCTCCCCTGGGCCTCAACCCTCAAGCCATAATATACACGTTATATTAAAAATGGCTTCTGCAGTGATTCACAAATAGAAATTTTCTTCTCCTCCAGGAAAATCTTGGAAATGGAAATAGAGACTTCAACTGTGGAATATAAAGTTCAAAATGTGGAAAACTTGTCTTCAGACTAGTCATGGGATTTACATGTGGATAATACATTAGTGTGATTCTAATGTGGAGGCTGAGCTGCAGCTCACTGACCCTGTTCATCCTAACTCACTTGTTTTATTTGATTGATTATCAATGAAGCTAATAAACGGTTGATGGCAGATTTTTTTCAACTGAGGAGAGAGACAACAACAAAATGAGGTGCGTAGAGATGAGGTCTCCTCGACCTCTGACCCACCTCTCCGTGCTCCCTGGTCCGGCCCTTTGGCGTGTCTTCAGGTAAGAAGTAGAGTCTGGCGCTGGACAGAAGGTGGCTCCGGGTCTGGTCTTCCCACAGTAAGGTCACCTGCAGGAGGAGAGAACGGACAAACACAGCTGATGTGTTAACTTTGGTTAAAATACAGATTTATCAGCAGAATGCTCGACATGAACTGTAACTAAAGGTTTAATCAACAAATATATTAGGTACAAATACAACCAAATGAATAAAAAATAAATAACACTTTTATTATAAGTTTTTTCCAGCAGCAAATGTAAACGCCGATTCTGATGTTTGAGAGAGACTCGACAGATTTCAATAGTTCAAGTGATTAATGAAACGAGATCTACAAATGTAACGCAGTAAAAAAAAGTTCACATGTGCAGGTCTCTCACCTCAGCGATGCACACGGGATCCTGCGGCCCACAGCGGATAAGGTAAAACTCCCCGAGCCTCCAGACCTGGACGGGCCCATCGGGCTGAGCTCTGCTGCTCACCGACTTGTAGAAGGCGTAGCTGCCTCGCTGGCAGGAGGGAGCACCCAACCACTGATGGAGAAACAACACAGGGGGTTAATAAAGACTTGTATTATATTACATTCATCCATCTGTTCGTCTTTTCTCAATAATCCAGTCTGACTCTTTTCCATGCAGATGTTTTTGAATCCACCACCTTTTCAAAAATCTTAAATTACCAGATTAAAAAACGTCTCTGTCACCATTTGGTATTTCCACATAAGTGTGGATTCCTATCAAATCTAAATCTAAGATTCACGATGTTCTCGCTGCGTCCTTCCTACTTTTCCTTGGGTGTGTTGAAACCATAAATTCTGCACAATTACACCTCTGGCATCAACTTCTCTGACGGTGAAGTTGCACCATCTTGCAGCAAGGCAGGATTTTCTCATGTGTAATCAGTGCTCGGAGCGTGATACTGTAATATATTGAGAGGAGGTGTTAAAAATTAACTGCTCACACTGTGGAGGGGAGTCATATCTGCTGCAGCTGATACCGACTCAGAATATGACTCAATATGTTTCTGCTCTGACAAAGTGACGAGCAGCGATCACAAACAGCCTGAAACCTCAGACGTGCATGAACTTGTCGGATATGAATCATCTGTGTCGCACAACTTTTCCAGATTTTCAATGTGTAAATATGTGAATTAAAAAAAAAAAAAAGAAGCTGATTAAACAGAAACAAAGCAGCTTCCTGTTTTCATTCCACCACAACACATCGCTCACACGTCTTATTACACTGATTTAAAACGCCTCCACAAATAAACAAATACAATCAGTAGATTGTTGGGTAAATTAATAAATATTATTAAGCTCGTGTCGAGGTCACATGTTTCCCACAGAACAAATCACAAACCAATCAGCTGCACTCAGAACGTTTTCTCACTGAGAGTGTGTATATATATATATATTTATCTGATTGTTATTAGACGTCATCTTCACCAAGGTGCAGTCTGAAGACATGTGTCTTTAGTCTGTGGTGGAAGATGTGGAGACTTTCTGTCCTGGTGTCAATGTGGAGCTCG